TTCTTTTTTAAAAACAATCTTGAGAGCTTTGCAGAATAAATACAATCTTGCATTCTGCCTTTTCTCACTTACCACCTTGTCATGACTTTTACATATTGCCTTAAACCTTTATTGTTACTGGTTTTATTTGTTATTATTTTAACCACTGAATAATTTGCTTATACATGCTCCTGCTCCACTTTAGAAGGCCAAATTTACAAATCTGATGAAAACTATGAACCCTCTCCCCAGGGAAATACACACACACACACACACACACACACACACACACAACAATTTCTTTTTGATGTTTGCAACTAGGACAAGAAATCTGCATTAGGGGATGTTTGTTTGTATTAATTAAAAATAACTCAGGTCAGATGCGGTGGCTCAAGCCTGTAATCCCAACACTTTAGAAGGCTAAGGTGGGTGGATCACAAGGTCAGGAGATCAAGACCATCCTGGCTAACACGATGAAACCCGTCTCTACTAAAAATACAAAAAATTAGCCAGGTGTAGTAGCACGTGCCTGTAGTCCCAGCTACTCAGGAGGCTGATGCAGGAGAATCGCTTGTACCTGGGAGGTGGAGGTTGCAGTGAGCTGAGATCGCACCACTGCATTCCAGCCTGGGTGACAGAGCGAAACTCTGTCTCAAAAAATTAACTAAATAAAATAAAATAAAGGATCGGAGAGAAACAAAACTAATAAGATTGTTGATGGCAAGCAAAGATACATAAATTATATATAATAAAGTTTAAATGCATTTTAAATGTAACCTTATTGTTTCTTTTGGTTACAAAAGTAAACAAGCCAAAAGGAATGCAACTTCAAACTCTACATAAATATCTATTACGGAAAGTGGAAGGCATCTATAATCCTGCCACCCAAAGATAACCAGTTAGATACATACTCTTCCAGATTTTGTCTGGCATACACTAGCTTTTCTTATTTGGGAAAGTTTCCATGTGCAGGCATACCGAATTTTTCTAAATTCCTGTGTAATATTCCATTTAAGGACATTCCATAATTTTTTATATACGTGCTTTAAAGTAGGAAAACTAGGCCAAGAGTGGTGGTTCACACCTGTATCCCCACACTTTGGGAAGCTGAAGCAGGCGGATCACTTGAGGTCTGGAGTTTGAGATCAGCCTGGTCAACATAGTGAAACCCCTTCTCTACTAAAAATACAAATATTAGCCAGGTGTCGTGGCAGGCACCTGTAGTTCCAGCTACTCAGGAGGCTGAGGCAGAAGTATTGCTTGAACCCAGAAGGCGGAAGTTGCGGTGAGCTGAGATCGCCCCACTGTACTCCAGCCTAGGCAACAAGAATGAAACACACACACACACACACACACACACACACACACACACACACACAAGATGCCTAGATAAATTTGACTTTCAGATAAACAATGGCTAATTTTTTTGGTATATGTCCCAAAGATTGCATTCATTGTTTATCTGAAAGTCAGATTTAACCCGGCATCCTGATGTATTTTATTCACCTAATCTGTCAACCCTAAATGTACATCAGTGGAATGGCTGCCAGCTTATTCCAATCAATTCTTGCCCCTGGATTGTACAAAGCAGGGTCCACCTTGGCTCAGTCCTCTCCTCTTGTCCCTCTCTAGGCAAAAACAAAGAGTGCGAGGCCTTCCTTTGCAACTGCGACCGCAATGCTGCCATCTGCTTTTCAAAAGCTCCATATAACAAGGAATACAAGAACCTGGACACCAAGAAGTATTGTCAGACTTGAATATCACCTCTGAAAAGCATCGCCTCTACCTGCTCATCTCACACTGTCCTCCAATAAAGCACCTTGTTGAAAGACCTCATGTTTGGAAATTGTTTTTTATTCCCTGTCTATAAACTAGCTCTCTGCCTAGTCTTTTATTTTTATTTTTTTGAGGCAGGATCACACTCTGTCACCCAGGCTGGAGTGCAGTGATGCAATCTCAGTTCACTGCAACCTCCGCCTCCCGGGCTCAAGCAATCCTCCCACCTCAGCTTCCTGAGAAGCTGGGACCACAAGCGTGTACCACCATGCCTGGCTGGTTTTTGCATTTTTTTGTAGAGACAACATTTCACCATGTTGCCCAAGCTGGTCTCAAACTCCTGAGCTCAAGCAATCAGGCCATCTCTGCCTATAAAATGCTGGGATTACAGGAGTGAGCCACCACACCTGGCTACTCTGACTAGATTGTCATGAGCATGCTTTCTTCCAGCCTTGGAAGCTAAGCTAAATTAGAAGGACACTTCCAGGAACCAAGCAAGCACCTTGGAATCAAAATAATGATGAACAATCACCATTTACTGATTATTTACCCTGTACAAGGACTGTGTCTGTAGATCATCTTGACAGCCCTATGAGGTATTGGCACTGTTAGCAAATCTTCTTTTCCTAAGCTGAGGCTCAATAAGAGTGGTCACTTTTCCTATGCTATCATCCAGCAAGCAGCAGAGAAGAAACTTGAACCTGGCAAGTCTGATAAAAAACCACTACCCTTCCCTGCCTGAAGTGGTAGGCTTTAGTTTGAGCCAGATCTTGCTCCTGTCTCGTGATTCTGCCTCCATTTTCAACTGTATTAAACCATTTTTCTACAATGATTTTCTTTTCTAAACCCATAAAAGACTTCACCACACTCTACAAGCTAATTTTGATAATGTAGTCATGAAATACAGTAAACATTAACAAGCTGGGCATGGTGGTATGTGCCCATAGTCCCAGCTACTCGGGAGGTTGAGACAGAAGAATCACTTGAACCTGGGGGCAGAGGTTGCAGTGAGCGGAGATGGTGCCACTGCACTGCAGCCTGGGTGACAGAGTAAGACTCCGTCTCAAAAAAAAAGAAAAGAAGGCCGGGCGCAGTGGCTCACGCCTATAATCCCAGCACTTTGGGAGGCCGAGGCGGGTGGATCACGAGGTCAAGAGATCGAGACCATCCTGGTCAACGAGGTGAAACCCCATCTCTACTAAAAATACAAAAATTAGCTGGGCATGGTGGTGCGCACCTGTAGTCCCAGCTACTCGGGAGGCTGAGGCAGGAGAATTGCTTGAATCCAGAAGGCGGAGGTTGTGGTGAGCCGAGATCGTGCCACTGCACTTCAGTCTGGGTAACAATAGTGAAATTCCATCTCAAAAAAAAAAAAAAAAGAAAAGAAAAGTTGAGAAAAGACCATAGGAACTATGAAAAGGCACCATTGAGCAGTTTCAGACCACTGGAGACGGACAGAACAGCCACCACTTCTGGGTATGTGGTGGGCAGTAAAAGACCTTCTTCCATTTGAAGAGGGGAGTGTATGAGAATTTATCTTTTGGCATAATTTCTCCCACATTTTATTCATCCATTCAATGATTATTGAACACTTACTCTGGGCCAGGCACCATACAAAATGCTGATGATATGATGTATTTGGGTCTGGCCATGAGACAATGATTCAGTGCTAGTATCTGTCTACAATTCAGTCTTCTCTGAGTCTTTTGTTCCAACTCTTCACACTGGCATGCTTATATATGATATGCTCCAGAGGTGTCATGTCTTTTGCACAATTATCTTGCCTTGAAGTTCTATAGTTGTAGGTACTGTTATATCCACAACTTACAGATGAGGAAACTGGCGCAAAGACGAAAGGGATTGCCAAAAGTAACTCATTCCTGGGTGGCATAGCTGAACTTGAAACCCAAATCTAGATAATTCAGAGAAGTGCTATCAGATTATGAACTAGTTGAAGGCAGAGTGAGGTGTCTTAGCCACCTTTGATTCTCTACCTGCCTGTAGGAGACACTCGATAAGTGACTGCTGAATGCTAAATGAAGTGTTAGTCACATCCCTGCTCAGGGTCTTTTTGATTCTTTGGCAGGTAAGATGGGTCTGTTCTGAAATTCAAATTCAACAAGCATAGACTGAAGAACCCTTTTTTGGATACTGTGCTATGATGAATTTCAAGGGATGCAAAATCAAGTTAGACCTGGCCTTAGTCTTCAACGAACTGGGAAGGCCATAAAAAAGTATTTCTTCTGTGGAAAGAAATTGGAAGTTCCTTTTGGATTGAAGAAAAGTGGCCTTTTAGGAGAATGGTGCTTACTTCTTTCTTTTCTCTTTCTTTCTTTTTTTTTTTTTTTTTTGGTAACAGAACAAACAAGAGAGAACAGTCACAGGACTACTGAAGGCTCTAAAGATATCCTCTGATGTAAAAATCTATCTCTTGGGCTGGGTGTGGTGGCTCAGGCCTGTAAATCCCAGCACTTTGAGAAATTGAGACAGCTTGCTTGAGTCCAGCCTGGGAAACCAGTGAAACCTCCTCTGTAAAAAAATTAGCAAGGTGGTGTGTGGCTGTAGTCCCAGTTACTCAGGAGGCTGAGATGGGAGTATCACCTGAACCCAGAAGGCTGAGGCTGCAGTAAGACTGCACTCCAGCCTGGGTGATAGAAGGAATGGAGGGAGGGAGGGAAGAAAAGAGTGAGGGAGGGAGGAAAGAAAGAGAGGAGAGAGAGAAAGGAGGAAGGGAGGGAGGGAGGGAGAGAGGGAAGGAAGGAAGGAAGGAAGGAAGGAAGGAAGGAAGGAAGGAAGGAAGGAAGACAAAGAAAACGAAAAAAGCAAACAGGCCAGTCGCGGGGTGGCGCCTGTAATCCCAACACTTTGGGAGGCCAAGGTGGGCGGATCACCTGAGGTCAGGCGTTCAAGACCAACCTGACCAACATGGAGAAAACCCGTTTCTACTAAAAAGACAAAATTAGTCGGGCATGGTGGCGCATGCCTGTAATCCCAGCTACTAGGGAGGCTGAGGCAGGAGAATCGCTTGAACCCGGGAGGCGGAGGTTGCAGTGAGCCGAAATCGCACCATTGCACTCCAGCCTGGGCAACAAGAGCTAAACTCCGTCTCAAGAAAATAATAATAATAATAATAAAGCAAACAAAAAACCACCAACAAAATAACCTCTTTTTCATTATCAAGGCTTGTGAGAGACAGAATAAATTCTCTTAACAATCTTTAAATGAGCATTTGTATGAAAGTACTACACGAGAAATCAGTTGAAGGGCTAGGATGATTTGAATGAAGAAACAAGGAAATAAGCGGGACAGAGTAATTTGACAGAGAGATTACAAATTCTAGCAACCACGGTATCTTCAGTGTCTAGTGCATCACATATGTTCATTAAATAATTGTTCGGGGAAGGTAGAGTGTGACGTAATGGTTCGCCAAAGCCAAGAAGAAAAAGCCACGTGGCTGTATTTACCTTTTCATGTCACGTGATGCTACGTGCCCAACCCAGTCAAACTCTAGTCCACCGCCCCCCATCCCTGGCCAGAGGATTTGATTGTAATTGGTTATCTTATGGGCACGTGGCTCTCGATCTCTCTTTTCTATTGGTGACTAGTGGCCCAGCCCCCTGGTCTACTGCCCGGTCCACCCCTCTCAAGCTCCGCCCTTCTCGCGCGCAAAAGAAACGCGAGTCTGCGCAGGCGCAGTGACTGGTAATGAGCGCACCAGACTGCGTCTGCTAGAGGTGGTGGCGGCCGCAGCTCCTGTCTGCGGCTTCGTGGGGTCCTGGCGGCGCTCTTCTCCTGAGCCAGAATCCAGGAGGAAGGACAAAGTGAGCGTTAGAGTGAAAAAAGAGGGCGAACCCACGTGGATGTTACTCTCGAAGTCACTTTTCCCTGTTCCCCAGCTCCCTCATGCCTGTTTCCTGTGGGCATTGCCTTCTTTGATTTTATCCCAGGGACGGATTAGCGGGTAGGGAAAGTGGGGTGCAGGGAACGAAGGGGAGCTGGGAGGAGAGATGCCCAAGCAGAGAGGTGAGGGGGTGTTGGGCGAGCTACAGGCCCCTGAGGCGCCCCACATCTACACTCAAATTTTCACCCAAACGTTGAAGGGGTAAAAAACCCGAAGAGATTTGCTGGTCTAACCTCCGTGCTTTTGCATGAGTTGCCTCCTCCCTTTTCCTACCTGGTGAAGGCATGTTTGTCTTTCAGAACCCAGCCTGGGTCACTTTTGGAAGTTTCCTGAGCTTTGTTCTTCCCCAGGTACAGCTGTTGTTACCCCAGCAGGTTTCTACAGCACAAAGTCCAAGAGCGAGCTCACAACTTGACAGACTGGCCTTCATTCCTGGTCTAGTCACGTTCTTGCTGACCTTGGGCAGATTACACAAAGTCTCCAAGCTTCAGTCTTCATCTTCAAAAAGAAGTAATAGTGCTCATATATATCGTAGGGTTGTGGGAATTAAGTGTACAACTATGTTATGTAAATGCTTCCCAAGTGCTTGTTGTATAGTAAATGTTCAATAAATCTTATTTTCCTAAGGGGAACGAGAGGAAAGGATACACACTTTAATTTTTCTTTAGAAAGTCTTTATTACATTAAGCAAACCTTGATTTATAATCTTTTCCTATTTTTTTAAACCTATTATTATTATTATTTGAGATGGAGTTTTGCTCTTGTTGCCCAGGCTGGAGTGCAATGGCTCGATCTCAGCTCACTGCAACCTCCGCCTCCCAGGTTCAAGCAATTCTCCTGCCTCAGCCTCCCAAGTAGCTGGGATTACAGGCGTCTAGCACCATGCCTGGCTAATTTTGTATTTTTAGTAGAGATCAGGTTTCACCATGTTGGTCAGACTGGCTGGTTTTGAACTCCTGACCTCGGGTGATCCATCTGCCTTGGCCTCCCAAAGTGCTGGGATTACAGGCATGAGCCACTGCACCTGGCCTATTATTATTATTATTTTTGAAATGGAATCTTGCTCTATTGCCCCAGCCAGAGTGCAATGGCACAATCTCAGCTCACTGCAGCCTCTGCCTCCCGGGTTCAAGCGATTCTCGTGCCTCAGCCTCCTGAGTAGCTGGGACTACAAACGTGCACCACCATGCCTGGCTAATTTTTGTATTTTTAGTAGAATCAGAGTTTTACCATGTTGGCAAGGCTGGTGTCAAACTCGTGGCCTCAAGTGATCCACTCACCTCGGCGTCCCGAAGTGCTGAGGTAACGGGCATGAGCCACCTTGTCTGGCTACCCAAGAGTTTTAATTCCATGCTATATTCCTTTTCTAATAAATTGAGGGGGGAAGAGAGAGAAACCTAGGCCAGGCGTGGCTCACACTTGTAATCCCAGCACTTTGATAGGCCAAGACAGGCGGATTGCTTGAGGTCAGGAGTTCAAGACCAGTCTGACCAACATAGTGAAGACCTATCCCTACTAAAAATCCAAAAAATAGCCAAGTATGGTGGCATGTGCCTGTAATTCTAGCTACTCGGGAGACTGAGGCAGGAGAATTACTTGAACCTGGGTGGGGCGGAGGTTGCAGGGAATGGAGAGCATGTCATTGAACTCCAGCCTGTGTGACAGAGCGAGACTGTCTCCAAAAAAAAAAAAAACCTCCTTTATTGGATTAGTTTTTTATTTTGTTTTATTTATTATTTATTTATTTATTTGAGATGGAGTCTTGTTCTGTTGCCCAGGCTAGAGTGCAGTGGCACCATCTCGGCCCACTGCAGCCTCCCGACTCCCAGGTTCCAGCGATTCTCCTGCCTCAGCCTCCCAAGTAGCTGGGATTACAGGTACACGCCTAGCTAATTGTTTTTTGGATTTTCAGTAGAGCCGGTGTTTCACCATGTTGGCCAGGCTGGTCTCCAGCTCCTGACCTCAGGTGATCTGCAAGCATTGGCCTCCCAAAATTCTGGGATTACAGGCGTGAGCCACCACATCCAGCCTCTTGGATTAGTTTAATTTCTGTCTTCACGAAGTGGAATTCAGCTGTTTTGCAACATAAATATTAAGTAAAAAATCTATATCTCAAAGCAGTGTGTTGAATCTCAGCAAGATTAATATATTTTGAATTAATTATTATATCTGGGCAGCTTCTGTTGGGTGAGTTGGATGATGGTCAGAGTGACCAACTCATCCTGGCTTTAACACTGAAAGGCCTGCATCCTATGAAACCCCCTCAGTACTGGGCAATCTGTGACAGACAGTCACACTACCTAGGAGTGTTGGATTTCCTATTGGTCCTTCCTCTGATCCACTCAGAAAAACTTCAGGGTAGTTCACTTTTGCAAAAGTTCACCTTTATGTATGCCTAAGCATCTCTTGGGAGGTGCTTTCATTAAGTGAGTTAATGTATTGTTAAATGCTTTGCACAGTGTTTGGGTTATGGTATGTGCTCAACAAATGCTTGGGTTTTTTTGTTGTTGATGGTGGTGGTGGCAGTTTTTTGAGACAGACTTTTTTACTCTTCTTGCCCAGGCTGGAGTGCAATATAGCACGATCTCGGCTCACCGCAACCTCCGCCTCCCGGGTTCAAGCAATTCTGCCTCAGCCTCCCAAGTAACTGGTATTACAGGCACCTGCCGCCACTCCTGGATAATTTTTTGTATTTTTGGTGGAGACAGGGTTTTGCCATTTTGGCCAGGCTGGTCTCAAACTCTTGACCTCAGGTGATCTGCCCACCTCAGCCTCCTAAAGGGCTGGGATTACAGGCATAAGCCACCATACCCGGCCAGTAAATGCTTGTATTTGAGAGGTGAGAGAGAAAGATACCGTTTATGAGAGGACTAAGAGGAAGAATATGAGTTAGTGGGGAGGAAGTTTCCAGTCTTATGTACCCGTTTGCCTATATGAATTCCACTTACTAAAACCATGACAGCAGAGCAGAACTGCTGAAGCAACTGAGTAGGGACACGACCCAAAGTCATGCCCAAGGCTGGCCTTGTGCAGTTGGGACAACAGAACCAGGCCAGTGGCAAACTGATAGCACCGCCTACTTTCTTACTCTAACCAAGGGCACATACAAGTGGGGTGGGAGCTGCCATGATGGTAGAAAGCAAGGGACTTAAAGCATGGAGGCAGACATGAGGAGAGGCAGCTTCAGGAAATACCAGGTTCCTCTTGGGATGCGTTTTTTGGTGGAAAGAATTCCATCTCAGGAGGAAATATGAACAAAGCAAACATTCCAGAGGCTCTCCAGGCTTGATTTTGTCATTCGTGCCAGTGCTGAGGTGCGGAAAGAGCCTGCCTTCCCTCCCTGGCTGCCTAATCTGCTATCCGCTGGGCACTTCATTGTTTTCTTTTTTTCTAAGTGCAGAAATCCTGGGCAAGGCCACTCCATTGTAACCATTCCTGGTCTCCTTGGCCAGGTGTACTGCTGGTTTTTACTTCAACTTTAGGCTGGATCACCTTTGCAGTGGTCCATAATCTGTAATCTGATCCTAATCTGCAGACAAATTAGATTGCTAAAAAAAGGAAAATACTACTCCACACACAGTGGCTCATGCCTGCAATCCCAGCACTTTTTGGGAGGCCAAGGCAGGCAGAACACTTGAGGTTAGGAGTTCAAGACCAGCCTGACCAACATAAGTGAAACTTCATCTCTACTAAAAATACAAAAATTAGTTGGATATGATGGCGCATGCCTGTAATCCCAGCTATTTAGGAGGCTGAAGCAGGAGAATTGCTTGAACCTGGGAGGCAGGGGTTGCATTGAGACAAGATGAAGCCATTGCACTCCAGCCTGGGTAACAGAGCAAGACGCTATCTTAAAAAAACAAACAAACAAACAAAAAACTGGAAGGAAAGTCTACCTGGATTCTCGTCCTGGCTCTGACATCATATAGTGTAGCCTTAGGTAAATCTGGATTTTAGTTTCCCAAGAAATGAAATGAGGCTAGGCACGGTGACTCATGCCTGTAATCCCAGCATTTTGGGAGGCTGAGGCAAGTGGATCACTTGAGGTCAGAAGTTCAAGCAGACTGAACAATATGGTGAAACCCCGTCTCTAGTAAAAATACAGAAATTAGCTGGGCATGGTGGTGTGCTCCTGCAGTCCCAGCAACTTGGGAGCCTGAGGCAGGAGAATTGCTTGAACTTGGGAGGTGGAGGTTGCAGTGGGCCAACATCACGCCACTGCACTCTAGCCTGGGCGACAGAGAAACGCTCCATCTCAAAAAAAAGAAAAAGAAAAAAAAGTAGGATAGACTAAATTTTCTCTGATTCTGTCATTCTGTGTGATACTCTGACGTTTTTTATTAGAGAATGGGGTGGGAGGGGTGGCGGTGGGAAACAGTATATTCTCTTCCAGCCACTTGAGGACAAGAAGTTGTACCTTTGTCTCCTTAGTACCTTAAAACTACTACTGTGTCTGTCGATAGCTCGATGAAGCTGGGCACTGTCGCAAGTGCCTGTGATCCCAGCACTTTGGGAGGCCGAGCCAGGTGGATTGCTTGAGCCTAGAAGTGCAAGACCAGCCTGAATAACAGAGTGGGACCCTGACTCTACAAAAAAATTTTAGTCCCAGCATGGTGGCTCACACCTGTAATCCTAGCACTTTGGGATTTCAAGGTAGGTGGATCAGCTGAAGTCAGGAGTTTGAGACCAGCCTGGCCAACATGGCCAAACCCCGTCTCTACTAAAAATACAAAAATTAGCCAGGCGTGGTGGCAAATGCCTATAAGCCCAGCTACTCAGGAGGCTGAGGCAGGAGAGTTGCTTGAACCTGGGAGGCAGAGGTTGCAGTGAGCCAAGATCGCGCCATTGCACTCCAGCGTGGGCAACAAGAGTTGCCCAAGAAACTCCATCTCAAAAAATAATAATACTAATAATAATTTTTTTAATTGTCGATGAGATTTGTGGATGACCGTGGCTTGAGATTCAAGCCAGATTGTAATACAATTGTTAGTACTAACTTTGGGTAACAGGAAATCTCGTTGAAAGCAATTCAGGATCCCCATCCACAAAAAAGCTGGAAAGAGATTTACTTACAACCTTACACCTCTTCAGATTAATGAACATGAGCAAACCTGCAGTGGTTCAGGTAAAAAGAACTCTGTTTTCACAATCTTAGATTATCCTAGTTTACTGAAATTTGCTTCCTGGGCAGGTGCAGGATGAACATGTATTGACTGCCCTAATTTTAGACAAAAAGCTATCAGGGCTGGGCGCAATGGCTCATGCCTGTAATCCCAGCACTGTGGGAGCCCGAGGCGGGTAGATCATGAAGTCAGGAGTTCGGGACCAGCCTGACCGACATGGTGAAGCCCCATCTTTACTAAAAATACAAAAATTAGCCGGGTGTGGTGGTGCATGCCTATAATCCCAGCTACTCGGGAGGCCGAGGCAGGAGAATCACTTGAACCCGAGAGGAAGAGGTTGCAGTGAGCTGAGATCATGCCACTGCACTGCAGCTT